CTATTTTACAAAATGCCATTTGTACAAACCTGGCTTTGCTCCTAAAAATGTGAATTTTAAAATCAAGTTCTGTTACATCTGTTGGTGCCAGCCCAGGTTTGGATCCATGGTGCCATGTATTTTGTTGCAGTTATTATTAGTTATTATTAGTTATTATTAGTTAATATTAGCCCTACAAAGGCTGCAGGATCCTGTAATGCAGCCAAGCTGAACTCTGGGGAAATGGAGTTAAAATGATCCTAAAAGAGAGTGTGGTGTCATTATTTAAGAGTCATTTGAATAACCTTGGTGAGTTTGTTGCCAAGCCCAGTTTATTTTATATAGAAAAGCAAAGGTGTATCTTTAAAAAGAAAAGGAAATTTTAATAAAGTTGTAAAATATATGTAAGGAATTAACTCAGAGGTGAAAATGCTACTTAGGAGTGAAATTCCAGATTTCTTTCATTGTGTGTGGAATCCAATCCACTCAAGAAGTCAGGAGAAATATTGTGATTAAATCCATCCAGAGAATTTGGGGAGGAGGTGGAAATAATTTCAAATGTTAATGAGTGTCACTCCTTTATTCCTTTGAAACTGGGAGCAGCCTTGGCTGGGTCTGAGGAGGATTTATGGACCTGCCTTGGGAATTTGGGAAACCAAATTCCTTGGCAATGACACCCAGCTCCTGTCTTGTCCAAGAGCAAGGTGTGCCCAGGAATGGCACCTCCTGATCATCCCCTGCCTTATCAATATTGCCTGAAAACCAAACTGCAATTAACTGCAATTAACTGTGACATCCCCAGTTAAATCTGCTCTGCAGCAGAGAATCCACAGAGCTCAACATTCTCTCTTTTGCCAACGGCGTGAAAACAGAGCAAGGGAAAAGAAGCACATTTGTTATAGCACAAATTTACAATAATTCCACTCCTGCATCTGGCATCGTGTTCTTGGAACCAAGGGGGAGATTTCTGATCCAGCATCAGTGGATTTATTGCATTTTTGATCTGTTTACTCGCTGCCTGATACTTCAGCAGTTGATTTTGGCATTTTGCACATGGGATTGATTTTTCAATAACTCGTATCCCTTCCATATTAATTAATTAATGACAACAAAAAGAACCTTTTCAAATCACAGAGCCCACTGCATTCATTTCTGCTGATTTCCTCCTGGAAGCTGAAATCACATTAACAACTTTAATTTTGGCCAATGTGTAGATCTGGGATGTGACTGGTGAATCCACCAGCAGCCCAAGGTCGGGAATGAAACGCTCCCAGTAAATGTTCGTGGGGTTGGAGAGGGGGGAGGGAAGAGTCACAGCACCCCAAATTCCCAAGAAGGGAAGCTGAGGTTAAGGAATGTGTTTGGGATTGGGACACAGCTGATGGATTCCCTCCTGGTGCAGCCAGGGAGAAAGCTGGGATCAGCAATTCCAACTGCAAACTCCAGACCTTGGGCTTCTCAGATCCCGGGAAATCTCTGTTTCTCAGCCCAGCTGGTTCCCAGGGAGAGCCTGGCAGCGCTGCCTCGCTGGGAGCCAGCTCAGAGCCGCACTGGTGAAGACATTTCTGCCTTTACTGGGACAGAGCCACCCCAAATTTGTGTTTTCTGCTGATTTTCCCTTTGTTTTGCCCTCTAGACCCTGTGTGTGTAGCACCCGACCAGGCATGTGGGTACCATATACTATGCAATGTGTACAGTGGTGCATGCTCTGCTCTCCCTCTGCTTTTAGTGGCTTTCAAAGAAAACTACAAAAATTTAAAAAAAGAAAATAAGTTTAAAAAAAATAATAATAATTAAAAAGTGGTGTTATTTTTGTGACCAGGATCATGCAGACTGCATGCCCATAGTATCCTCATTTCTATGGATTCGTTTTCTGGAATTTAGATGTACAAAGATGAACTGCATTACAATAACTTTTCTACAATAAATGAACAAAAGTACCAAGAGTTTAAAAGTCTGTCCAGTCTCTTTGTGTCCTGCACTAAGATTGGGAAAATGCTCAGGAGAGTTGGGAGAAACCTGGAGTCTTTTGGCATTTTTGTCGTTTGCCAATATTTTTTGGCAGCAGCCTCACGTGTTACATTTTTAGGAAAATTTAATGAGGTTCTGAAGAAGGAGATGCATCTGCTCTGTGAAATAAATGATGTTTATTTTTGTAATGATCTGCTCTTAAATAGCTGCGACCCAGAAGTACAAAAATACAGATAATTCCTGCTGATCCAGCAGGGAATGAGGGACTTGCAGCCAACTGCTCCTTTGAAGGATTCTCAGGAATTCAGGGCTTTGGAGCTGGTCCTTGGTGGGATCAAGGCAGGAACAAGGAGCAGAACGATGGGAGGGATGAAGGGTCAGATAATTAATAAAAGATAATTAATAGTTTATCACAGAATGGCGAAGGTTGGAAAAGAATTCCATGAGCGATCCCCACCTTGTCACCAGCCCAGAGTGCCGCCTCCAGCCATTGATTTGGAGAACTGAAAGCAGTGGGAGATGCTGCCCCTGGCAGAGAGTTCCAGCCTCCACTTCCCAAAAATGAGAAACAGGAGCCAGCAGCCTCCCAGAGATGCTGTGAGCACCCAAACCCTGCCCTGGAGGGACAGGAGCACATTGGCCAGGTGAGCTGCACGGTGCATTTACACCCCTCTGACAGATCTTAAAAGCTCTTAAAATTCTGTTTAACGGGGTTTTCTTGGCTGTGTGTTCAAAATCAGATCTCAACACGTGAGTTTTCATCTAAACTGTTAATGAAAAGCACAAGGGTTTTCAAATAAATATAACTGAGAGAAAAAAAAAAATGCCTTTTGTGTGTTTTCATACAATGCTAGGGGTTAAAATTACTTCAGCTGTTTAATTTGTCTGTGTCCTGGGGAAGGGGCTGGAGAATTCCTGAGGGAGCTGGGAAGGGGCTGAGGCTGGAGCAAAGGAGGATCCCGAGGGATTTTTTTCCCTCTCTGGAATTCCCTGACTCCTCAGGCTGGGCCAGGGGAGCTCAGGTTGGATTTTTGGGACAATTCATGGAAAGGGTGCTCAGGTGGAGTCCCCATCCCTGGAGGGATTTCTTGGGGACGTGGGGCAGTGCAAGGGGAATGGACTCAAATATCTTGGAAGCCTTTTCCAACCTAAACCATTCCCTATTCTCTTTGTTCGGGTTTTTTTCTGCACAGAAGCATTTCCATGGTGAAATCGGCATCCGAAGCACTTCCCCAGCACAGCCAGCCTGACCCTGTCTGTGTTACAGCTGCCTGGAACAAAACGTACACGACCCGAAAAAGCCCTCCCAGATTTGCAGGAGGGAATTGCGAGGCTGTACCAGCCCTGCCCATTGGAATGCTTTCCTAGAAAGCTTCCAGCAGCATTGGAAGCTCAGCTTAGCCTGTAAAAACCAGCAGTACGATCCAGGTTCAACCAGGAAAAAAAACCCAAGCAAATGACATGGAGGGGAACCTCGGAGATTTTTATTTAAATAATCAGAATAAATTGTTTAATTGAATTTTGGTAGCTCTCCCACAGCCACCGAACCCTGCCCTGAGCCCAGGAGAGCTGAGAACAGAAAACCCCGAGTGCTTCTGAAATTCCAAGCTGAGGACCGGCAGCAAGGGGGATAATTGACAGCTAATGAATAATTAATGCCACTGCAGGCTGGATGCTGAACTTGTGGAATGTTTTACACCGGAGGAGCTGCTGTTTCCCCGCGGGTTACACACGGTGCCAGGACCCACAGCTGCGACACCGCCATGGACTGGCACACTGGATTATCACATTTCTCTTCCTAAACTGGTCAGGGCCATAAATTCCCCTCCAGAACAACAGGAAACACAACAAATCTCTGGACACAGAAAATCGGAGATTACTCTGCCCTTGCTGCTTTGGTTCCGGACCAGCAGGGACAATTAAATGCAAGATGCTGCTGTGGGAATAAAAGCTGCTTGAAGGAAAGATGTAAAACCTCTGGAATAAGAAAGGAGATTCCATGTCCCATCCCTGGCAGTGTCCAAGGCCAGGCTGGACAGGGCTTGGAGCAGCCTGGGACAGTGGAAGGTGTCCCTGCCATGGAAGGGGAAGGAATTGTCAGGGACAGGATGAGTGAGAGGGCAAACACCCCATGCCTTGTCTCAGGCAGGACACAGCTGTGCACAACCTAATTGTTGGCTGGGATTTTCAAATACCTGAGGATTTAAACCCAGTGGAGGGTTTGGATGGGAATTTATCTCAGTGAAGGCTCTGGGCAGATCTTAAAGCCCATTCCAGTGCCGAAAACACAACCCTTATGCAAACTCAGCCCCAGCTGCTGGGGAGCAACTTCACACACGTTATTGCCCGGTTTTCCTCAGAGCACCAAGTTTTAGTAGGGTAAAGTGAACATAGTTTCTTTATGGACTGCATCCAGGCTGGGAGAGCTGGGAATGTTCTCCTGCAGAAGGGAAGGATCCAGGGAGAGCTGGGAATGCCAGGGAGAGCTGGGAATGTTCCCCTGGAGAAGGGAAGGATCCAGGGAGAGCTCCGAGCCCCTTGCAGGGCCTGAAGGGGCTCCAGGAGAGCTGGAGAGGGACTGGGGACAAGGGATGGAGGGCCAGGACATGGAGGACCGGTTTAAACCTGAAGGGAAGGGGTGATTTCGATGCGGTACTGGAGAGAAATCCCTCGCTGTGAGGGCAGCGAGACCCTGGCACGGTCACCGGAGCAGCTGTGAAGCGGGAGGTGCCCGTGGCAGGGGGGATGGTCCGGGATGGGCTCCGGGCTGCCTCACACCCACAGCACTCGGTGGCTGCGGGCTCTGCTCCCTCCGGCCCGGAGCCCCGGCGGGCTGTTCGGGTTCCGGAGCCCTGTCTGGCTGTCGGTGCCCGCAGCCCTGTCTGGCTGTTCGGGTCCCGCAGCCCTGTCTGGCTGTTCGGGTCCCGCAGCCCTGTCTGACTGCCGGATCCCGCAGCCCTGTCTGGCTGTTCGGATCCCGCAGCCCTGTCTGGCTGTTCGGGTCCCGGAGCCGGGCGCTCAGGGGCAGGAGCGGCCGCGAGAAGGAGGANAGCGCCCGGCCGAGGATGGGGATCCTCTTCACCAGGATATGGAGGCTCTTCAACCACCAGGGTGAGGCCCGGGGGCGATCCAGGAGGGACCCACACCCGCTCCGGGGCGGCCGCACGGGCTCCTGGAAGTCGGGGCTTTAAACCTTCTTTTCTCCCCCTTTAATTACAGGAATGTTCATTTCCTGACAGCCGCCTGTTAAATTATTAACGCGTGCCCAGGAACGCGGCCGTGGCGCGGCGGGGCGGGGGGGTTCGTCTTGCTGTCGGCAGAGTGTGGGTTTAAGTGGCAAACCTCGATATCTGGCTCGTTCATGGAGTAAATGTTATTTATAGCTTCAGTTGTGGCTGCCCCTGGATCCCTGGAAGTTTCCCAGGCCAGGTCGGGGCTTGCAGCAGCCCGGGACAGTGGAAGGTGCCCCTGCCCGTGGCAGGGGGGTGGCACTGGATGATTCTTAATTTCTCTTCCAACCCAAACCACTCTGGGGTTTTTAACACCTGTCTCCTTACAGCAAGGTGTTCGTGAAAGTTGGAACTTTAACTACAAAACACCTGCTGATGCTCTTTCCATGTTTCTGAAGCCCTTGGAATTAGATTTTGAGTGAGCCTCGGTACTCTCACACCTGCTCCTTGAATGTCCCCGTTAATGAGCAGCGCAAATACAACAAAATATTTTTGTCTTGTAGCATCCAGCCCCACCTCAGACCTTCTGTTCCAACTGATTTCCTAACATCCACTATGCTGGCAGCATCCCACCTGAAACAAAAGTTCCTAGTTATGTGGGGTCAGGTAAGCAGACACTTTTACAATATTGTGCAGTTATGCAAAGTTATTGAAGCTGGACTTTTATATTGGATGCCATAAAAGACAACTCTGCAAAACCACACAATATTGATAAAATCAAACCCGAGAAACCCCCACTTACCTGACCCCTGTCCTCTGGGATAAATCAGTGTGAGTGTAGTTTGCTGGCAGGGGTTGATCTCAGTGTCTGCAGCTTGGGCTTGTTTTTAATGGCTTTTTGTCACCCTTGAGGAACACGGGGAAGGACGGGAGAAACCCCCTTCTCACCGAGCTTTTACGTGACCGGTCCTGCTTGGTTGTGCAAGTGAAAGTTGTGTAACAGAGCTGAGAGCTGGCTGTGCTTACCCAAACTGGAGGTCATAAGTTTGGATGTGCTTGACACCAGCAGTTGTAGAGTTCCCAGTCACTTTTGTGATGCACAGGAGAGGAGGTGCTGAAGGGAAGCAAGAACTGATGGGGGCATTGAGCTCCAAAATGTCAGAGGTGGGTTGTGGAGCACCTGGTGACTTGTCCAAGGCCAGACTGGGTGAATGTGTCCTGTCAAGTGTTGGAGGGCACATCTGTTCCCCAGGAGGAAAGGAGGGCACTGGGGGCACAGGGATCACTGCAAACCAGCCTGGCTGGGTTTTTTTGTAAAGACATGGAGATATTGCCTGGATGAAGGGAAAGTGGAGTTGTGGCTTGGGGGATGGGGTTTGATACAGACTGCAAAACCCTGCAGGAACTTGGGAGAGGATCCCAGCGTGACACTGGCAGTCAGAGATGGAAAACATCCTTCTGAAATCTCTCAGGAATGGTTCCTGTGGAGGGGGAGAAATTGCCAGTCCTTTCCCTGCCCAGAGCAGCACCTGCCCACACAAACATCCCGGGCTGGCCCACAAACACACCTGGCCGCGGCACCTGGAGCTGGGCACTGTTGGCTCAGGAAACCAGTGGCAAACGTGGCACTAACCTTGATCCAGACCCAGCAGCTGTGACTTACCAGTGCTGTTTTCATTGCAGAGCACAAAGTGATCATTGTGGGCCTGGACAATGCAGGGAAAACGACCATTCTGTACCAATTGTAAGTAGGACCTGCGGGGACGTCTGGGGCATTTCCAGGTGTGGTACGTGGCCCTGGGTGGTTTTACTCGGAGCTTCCCAGGTGGCAGCGGGTGTCTGGAGTTTAGAAAGGGCTCTGCTGTGCCTGCTGGATGAATGAGGTTTTGTTCAGAGGGTTTTGGATCACATCACCTGCTGTTAGCACACACTCCCAGCCGCCCTTGGTGTCACGGCCTCGGCTCTTTGCCAGCCCCATAAAATATGGTTGTAGTGAGTGCTGGCCACGGGAGGCTGTTGCAAAACTGATCCACGCCGCAGATTTAAGCAGCAGACAACTCATTCTGTGAGTGGCAAAGCACCTCTGCTGCCGTGGCTTGTGTCCCCAGTGCTCAGTTTGCTGTTGTCTGTGGGATGGGATGAAGGAGGAAGGCTGATACCAGCACAAACCCGGGACAAATCCGTGCTGTCCTGCACCTTCTGCCTTCAACAGCAGCATTGATTTGTGTTTGCCTTGCATTAACCTTGCTCCTGGTTTACATGCAGCTCGAATGAGCTTTGTATCTCCATTCCTCAGCTGCAGTTTGATAAGAGGACACCAGTCTGTCCACAGGCTCAGAAGCTACTGGTGGCACAAGCAGCTCAAGGTCTGTTTGTGTTGGGGACAGATTGGCCCTTTCCCACGTGCAGTGCTGTGGCACTGAGGAATGTTCCTGAGTCAGAAATAATTCCTGTTAAATGATGTGGCCGTGCTGCTCCAATCCCACATTTAAAATTGGCTTTCTGGAAGTGGTTGTGGTTTGTCACATTCCAACTTGCTTTGCCTTTTCCAAAACATTTCTGGCTGCTCGTGGCCTGCCACTCTGCAGGGAGAGTGAAAGGGTGAGGGTGGTGGTGATTTATAGAGAGATGTTAAAACACACAAACAGGATGAAGGGTATTTCTTAAGACTGGAAACTGCAGTTCTAAAGGCAGCTGAAGGCCATCCTTAGTGCTTTTTAATCCACTTCCTCCACAAATGTCTTGCAGTTCTTCCCCTTATTTCTGCAGTTTCAGTATTTTCTTTTCCCTCTCATACAGATCTCTGTATGTCTCCTTTTAATTTGTACCCACTTTAACTCCACAGGACTTTCCCAGCTCTCTTCTTCTTCTGCCTTACTCCTCCTTGACGCTACCTCATCTTTGCAGATCCCGTTTTTCCTCTCCCAGACACTTCCTTTTCTCCCATTCTCATACTCAGCTCTCCTTGCACTGGCCCAGGGTAACTGGGATTGCTTCTCAGAACTCTGCACCATCCCTTTATCTCCTTGGCTCTCTGTATCCTCTTCAGGAAATATTCCAGCGCCATTACAAGTCTCAGATTGCTGTCACTGTAACTAAAAGGTCTGCTGGAACTTCAAAAAGGTTCATACAAAATGAAAAGCTCTATCAGGATGATCAGAAGAAAAAATAATTAATTCTTTTGAACACAGATGGTTTGCCTTGGAGCTACTGTTAATTTTTTTTGCCTGTTACAGTAGAGTTTAAATAGTCTCAACTTTAGGAGAATCCAGAGCACACGTTTGGTTGTTTGATGTGAAACTGGTGTTCTCAGTGACAAAGTCACACTCAGTATCTCTAAACAACATATTTGAAATATTGGATGTCTCCAAAGAGTTGTGTGTTGGACTGTGCTGAGGGGAGAAGAGGAGGAAGTTAGGACATAAAGCATTGTGAAGAAAATCTGGTTTTAGTGACCTGGAAGGAGAGTGGGATGGAGAGGGTGAAATGTTTCTGGAGGATGAGTTGTTTTTCTGAAACCTTGGAAATCTTGTGGCTTAACCACATTCTTGAAGCAAAACAACTGCTCTGTCCCATGTGAGCCAAAATGGGCCCGGAGAAAGAAGAACTGAGTTCTCCCAAAAGCTTCTGAAGCAAAAATTCTCTCAGCTCCGTGATTTAATTAATTACAACACATTTTGTTCACAAGTGCTCTCTCAGCTCTATAATTTGCTTATTACATACTTCACTGAATCCTTTTTATTGCTGTTTTTATTTTATGTTTCTGCACCCTCCACCATCAAACCTCAGCTGCCCAGGGAGTGTTTGCAGAGGTTCTTGCAGGGGGAAATTCCCCTCGGGTGGTTTCCTGGGTCACATTTGGTGACTGTCCTGTCCCTGTTCCTTGTGCAGCTCCATGAACGAGGTGGTTCACACCTCTCCCACCATCGGCAGCAACGTGGAGGAGATCGTGGTGAACAACACACGCTTCCTGATGTGGGACATCGGGGGCCAGGAGTCCCTGCGCTCCTCCTGGAACACCTACTACACCAACACCGAGGTGAGCTGCCCTGGGGCGCCTCTGGCACGGATTTGGGGCTGCCACTTGGCACTCAGCTCCTGCTCTGGGACTCTCCCTTGCTCTGGGGATTGCACAGCCCCCCGTGCTGTCTCCACGCTCGCTCTCTCCGCACTGGATCCTCCAAAACCTGCTCGACAGCCCCAAAGTTTTCCTCCAATGTTGGCAGCTCTGACTCACAAACTCCTGTCATCAGCAGCTTAAACACTCCCAAGGGTTTTCAGAACTCTGCAGAGCTGCAGTTGCAGTACACACACATACATATGTACATAAAAAAATATATATATACACATATATATGTGTGTGTATATTATGCACATAGACATATATTTATATATGTACACACACACATATGTACATTAAAAAAATATATATATACATATATATGTGTGTGTGTGCATAGATATATATACATAGACATATATTTATATATGTACACACACATGTACATAAAAAAATATATATACATACATGTGTGTATATATACACACAGACATATATTTATATATGTGTGTATATATATAAAAATATATGTATGTATATGAAATATGTATATGTGTATATATGTATATAAAATAGATATACAGATATACATACATGTACGTGTACATATACAAATAAATACATAAAATTAATATAATATAATAATGTAATATAATATAATATAATATAAATATATATTATATTGAATACATATAATAGAAATATATAAATATGTATATATGCATATTTTATATAATATATAAATATATAAAGTATATTATACAAAAATATAAAAATATATGTATAATATAAAAACATATAAAAATATCAAAACATGTACAATATATATATAAATACATATGTGTATATATATATATATAAAAAAATTATGCCAAGCACACAACTTCATAAAAATAATGCTTTAAATCAAGGTTTCCTCTGTGTTACCAATTACAATTTAAAGACAGTTAATTTGTTATATAAATTACATTTTGTATGGTTAAGTACAATTATCACAGTCATTACCTTTGTTCTCCAGTTCATCCCTATGAGGTGCTGTGACTCCTTGAAGTTCTTTTCCAGCCTAAATGAAGCTGGGAGTGTTTTCTTGGGAGTTTGGAACTTAAGGACTTTTTTAATCCCTATTTTTAATATAATAGATTCATATATTTGCATGTTAGTTCTTGACCTAGACAAAGAAAGCTGATGCACTTTGATTTAAAGGAAGCAGCAAATTATTTGAGGGGTCTGTGTGGTGCCTCAGTTCCACCAAGCAAAGGGCAAAACCAGATCTGGGATTACTGAGAATTTTCTTGCTTTCAGTATGAATTTTTCACTGAAAAATGGAGAACAGAAAGTGAAAAGTTGTGTCAGAGCTGCCTTTGTCCCCAAAGCCCAGCCCAGGCTGTGAACCAGCCCTGTGGGATTGCTGGGGCTGGAGGGAAGCTTTGGGAACAGGGATGGTGTCTGGTGATCCAGCTGGATAACGGGCTGGGAGTGGGAGCAGCAGAGTTCCTCTGCCTAATAACTCTGCCTTTTTGCAGTTTGTGATAGTTGTGGTGGACAGCACAGACAGAGAGAGAATTTCTGTGACTAAAGAAGAGCTGTATAAAATGTTAGCACACGAGGTGAGTGCACCCTGTGTCTTTGATATTTATTTTAATATTTATTTTAATTACCTGGCTGATACACACCAAGGGAAGCAGATTTACACCCTGAACTGCCTTGGCCCTGCTGCACTGTCTGCTGTCAAACTCCAACTAAAGCTGTTAATTAATACTAAATTACAGAAGTGAAGCAGCAGTTGGGACCTGTCAGGGACATCTGTGGGTTTTATACTTCACTCAATCCACGTTAATATCTGAATTAGAGCCTTTAAAACCCCCATGGTTTCCTGCAATAATTTAATAATTATTTTTGATATCTTCGTGGTTGCCTGAGGTTTTACAACCTCTACAATGTGTGTTAGAGCACCCAGCTCTAAAACTGAAGGCACTGCATCCCCTGGCTGTGTCAGCCAGTGCTCTGTGGGTATTTGGAATTCCAGAGTGGAAATTGCTGAATTGTAAAGACCCTCCTTAAACCTGAGCCCTGGGTCAGGTCTAAACCTGAGCTGGGCTGATGTAAAAGCCAGGCAGCACCTGTGGCATGACCTGAATGCAAACTGGATCAGGGTGTGTGAGCTGACACCGAGCTTCCAAATTTAAGTGTCAGAATAAAAAAAAAATGTGCATAAAAATGATGGCATTATAGCCTAAAATATTACATCTATATTTAACTTATAGCCATGGTTTGGGAGCCTGCAGCAAGGGCACAGCCTGCCTATGGATTTCCTCTGAGGAAAAACAAGGGCTTTGCATAGCATTTAAATTATGTTTAATAAAATAAATTGTAATAGAGCAGGTGAGGCTGTGCAGTGTTAAATGTAGCACAGAGGGATTCAGTGCTGCTGTCTATGATTAGGATTTCAGAGCTGGACTCTCAGGCTGTTGCAAAAACCTGCATCTTGTGTTTCCCACTGTCTAAAGGAAGATGAAGTTGTTAACGAGCTGATTTTTCCGGGGGGAAGGTCTGGAATTCCAGGCAGAATGGAGCCGATTTGGGAGCCACCTCGCAGTGAATGTGCCCTTTGTTACCCGGCAGGATGTTCCCAGGCTCCCTCTCCAGACGTGGCTGTGACGTTGGGAGAGAGCAGCAATGAAAGTCAAATATTGATTTAAAATCGCTTTTCTTTGCTCCTTGAAAATCTTTTCTTTCTCCTAACCGGTTCCATGGAGTTGCTGTTAAGGCAAAATTGAGTTGTCCAGCTCTGTTCCAGCTATTTTCTGGAAGCAGTTGGTTATTTGGAGATTAATTTTGCTGCTTGTAAACAGGAGTGTGCCTGATAGGCAGCTGAGTGCCTGGGCTGGCCAGGCTTCCTGGAAACACCTTTTTGCTTTCCAAGGGAAAGATTTTCAATAATACACCCCTGCCCTGATGCAATTCCAAGCAATTTGAGGTAAAATAAGCTTATCCCTGGAGTCACTGTCTCCAAATTGTCAGTGCTGCTCAGGTACAGGGCTCTGATCCTCGTGGAGCACAGCAAAACGTTGTCCAGAGTTTTTTGGTCCTTATCCATGGCTGTTTGGTGTGCTGGATCAGAGCATTTCCTGCAGTTCCTGTCAGCCTGCAGCACTTTGTTCTGGAGGATTGTTGGTTTGGGCTCTGGGTTCCCTGCTCTGGTGTCCCATCCTTCACCTCCAAGGGCTGCTCTGTCATTACCTCCTCTCCTTTCTGCCCAGGATTTGAAGAAAGCAGGATTGCTGATCTTTGCTAACAAGCAGGATGTGAAGGAGTGCATGACAGTAGCTGAGATCTCCCAGTTCCTGAAGCTGACTTCAATTAAGGATCACCAGTGGCACATCCAGGCCTGCTGTGCTCTCACTGGAGAGGGGTAAGAGGGATTTGTGTCCTCAGGAGGGGAATCTGAATTACTCCAGGGTTTTATTGTGGTATTTGGGTTTCACACACATTCCTCCCCTGTCCATAATGGTGACAGAATCCCAGACTGGTTTGGGTTGGAAAGGACCTTAAAATCATCCCATGCCACCCCTGCCGTGGCAGGAACACCTTCCACCATCCCAGGCTGCTCCAAGCCCTGTCCAGCCTGGCCTTGGACACTCCCAGGGATCCAGGGGCAGCCCCAGCTGCTCTGGGCACCCTGTGCCAGAGCCACAGCACTTCAACATCTTGATACTTGCAAGATTTTCTACATCAGACCCACAGAGTCACCTCACAGAGATAACACTTGATATGATTTGGACTTGATGAGGGTGGGGTGAGGTGGGAGCAAGCTGAAATCTGGTTTATTAAGAATAATCTTAATTAGAGAGAACTTCATGTGTTGAAGAGCTGGGACCTGAATTCTCTCACCATAGATGATGTGGTGAGGTCTCAGAAGTGCCGTGCAGGGAGTGAAGAGTTTCCAGAAATGATGTGGAGTTCTTGGGAAGAGTTTAAATCGATGCTGTGGAGTTACCTGAGAGGTGCCTGCACTCCCTAAACGCTCTCTCTTGTGTTCCCAGGCTGTGCCAAGGACTGGAGTGGATGATGTCCCGGCTGAAGATCAGATGATTTTTAATGACCTCTTTGCACAGACATTGCTGCAGCAGAGCTGTTCCAGTGGCAGATTGGTGGGGTGGATGTATTTATGCTGAACTGATGGCAACTGTATTTTCTACATAGCTGCACACACACACACACACACACACACACACACAGGGACAGGAACTGGGAGCAGGCACAAGAGCAAAGGAGCACTTTGGGCTCCACTTTGGTTCGGGTTCCTCAGAGGACGCGTTCAAAGCTGTGACCAACCTTCTTTTCAAGCTGCCCCTCGGAACAGTCCGGCCTTGGGCATGGGGAGGATGAAGCGAGAGGAAGGAGCTTTTAATTTAGAATTTTATTATCCATTGTAGCCCTCTCTAGTGGAAGTTGTTGGCTTCGTTATTCCAGTAAATCAGCGAGCGAGTCACCGGCGTAGGCATCGACTCTCCAGTATTCCTAAGGTTACAAATGCAAAACTCTTTTCCTGTATGTGTACTGTACATATTTGTGTATATTTATACCTCAATCCTAGGTTAATTGCAATCTGCTCAGACCAGTGTAAAGCTGAATCAGTATGTTGGCAGTAGTACTAACCTGTGGCACGTCCCCGTGTCACCGGTGCCGTCCCTCTGTGTCCGTACGGCTGTAACGTCAATCACACCTCGGCTCTCCACAACCTGATAAACAAACTCTCTCTTCAGCCCATTGCTTGTTTTTCCACATGATTTTTTGATTAGGGAAGAGGCTGGAATGGATTGAGGCACACGGATTGAGCTTCGCTTTCCAGGGTTGGCAAACAGAACAAATTTGCCAAAGAGTTTCAAATGAAACGGATTTTCCTCTTTTATTGTGGTCATCATTGGATTGGGTGATGTTGCAGGTCCTGCCCACTGCTCTCCTTCTCTGCTGTGCTGGTTGATTCAGGTCTGGCCTTTAGGTACCTTTAGCTGTCAAAAAGGGAAAAGTATCTTTTTATTCTTAACCAAAGAAGAGGCACAAAAGTACGTTTGAAAGTGTCACTGGAATCGTACAAGTCAGGCTCTAATGAGGCGTTTTTTCAGAGGAAAAACTCTTTGCTGCATAAAACCTGCAGATACTAAAATGTGCAGATGTATCAATATGCAGTGGAGGGGACTGGAAGGGGACAAAGCAGATGACACTACTTGAAAAGCTCCAGGTGACCCACATGGGTTCCAGGGCAGATCTTGAAAGCAGAGCTCCCTTGCATGGTCCCCAAGCAGTGTGAGAACACCAGGATCACTTTTCCCTGCTGTAGCACCTGCTGGGCTGGCTGTCCCAGGCTGAAGGGGGTCAGAATTCCCACTTTAGAGGATCCAGGCAGTTGAGAAGGCAGTGGGATGGTTGGAAATGTCAGGTTCTTCTGTGGGAGATGCATTGGGAGTTCAGCACAATGAAACAAAACTGTTAAAAATGTTCTTCCCTTTCTCAGCCCCCGTGTCTGGTAAGGATGGAAAAGGCATTTTAAAGCTTGGTTTGAACTTTTTAAGGTGCTTCTCTTTGGTTCTGGGATAATCTGGTCAGCTCCTGCCTTCCTGCCCACCTGCCTTCCTGGGAGCACAGGAATCCTGGGGAAAGGAGGGGAGGCAATCTCAAAGTCTGTATTTAACAAAGGCAGGTAAAGAATTTAACTTTTTAATCTATTTTTGGTATCTCCAACGCTCCCTGGTTGGGGGATCTGCTGTCTTTGTTAAACATTAAGGTGTACATGCATATATCTCTAGTGCATGCACATAGATCTTGGTATTTAACTGGTGTATTGCAAAATGTATCAATGTTTGAAGAATTAACAATTTAATGCAAAGACTCTCTCAGTTTCTCTGACAGTATCTACAAGCAACGAGCTCTGTGCACACTTGCATATGAAATGGAATTGTACATTTTCTAGTCTAAAAAAAAAAAAAAAGAAAAAGCAGATTTGCTTCTAAACCCAAGTGTTTGGTTTTTGAGTCTTGTGTCTTCCCCGGGCTGAATCCACACAGGCTGGGTGAGCTGGGGGTTGTTGGTGAGGAAAGGAGTTGTTGCTGTTGGTGGTGGAGCAGTGTTGGGGTTTCTGCTGCTTGGTTGTGCATTTGTAGGAACTCTGTCAGATGATGCAGGTGTGGTGGTTGCTGCAGGTGTGCCTTGGGTGCAGATACTCTGTGTTTACACATCGCTTACGCTGGTTTTACTCTTTCCCTCCCCGTGCCACTTCCCCTTGCTGTGGTCCTGAGGTTCACCTTGTCTGGGTTTCCCCAGTGACCACAGATTCCAGCAGGGCCTGGCAGTGCTGCACACCTCAGGGCTGGCTGTCAAGCAGGGTTTTCTGTGCCCTGAGGGGTTTAGAATGCAAATATTCGATTGTTTCCTGTGTGTTGGTCAGTGAGGAACCCAGTGTTAACCTGACTGCAAACATGTCATGGGTCACCCTGAGCTTTCTGTGTGTTTTGTATTTTTGAGGGCAAATGTAGCCAGAATTCAGTGGTGGCTGATGTTTCCTGAACTCTGATGGATTCCAGACTCACCTGGAATGGTTGCTGAGATCAATCCCAGACTCTGTGATCATCTCCAAGCTCTCACCTGGAATATTTGCTGTGCTGGTGCTTTGAAGTGCACGTGTGTGAACTTAGAAATGTTTTCAATTTAATCACCGAGCAGAACAGCCAAACTTTAGATCTCTCGACCCCTTTGTGTTTTGTTTAAGTGCTCCTTGTTGACAGCTTTTTTCTTTTCCCTGCAGGGGAATTCTCATTTTTCTCCCAGCTCTGTCCATAGAAAAGCCAGGGAACTTTGCTCCCACTCGGGGATTGTTGGGCAGGGATTGTTCTACCCTGAGCCGTGACCTTGGGGTGTGATGCTGTTCTTTCACCCTCGGGGTTCTGCTGCCTTGGCTTCCAGCTGAAGCTCAAGCTTTGCCTTTGTTCTCCGTGAAATTCATTCTTAGGAAAAGGGAGGGGCCTTAAAAACGGTTGTTGAAGTAATGCTGCAAAATGGCATTTTAGTAGCAAAAAAAAAATAAAAAATAAGGTCGTATTTCAATAATTGATACTTTAAATGTTTCTTTTGGTTTAGAAGATCATCAGTTTGGTCAATGATCTCTGGATTATGCTGCTTCTGGCATCTGGGAATTATACAGGTCTTTAATTGTGAGGAGAGGTGGAAAATAAACTTGGGGAATGTGAAAAGCTTCATTTTTTTAATATTTTTTTTTCTTTCTGGGAGGCTGAGTAGCTGCTCTGCTGAGCGTTGTGTAGGTGTGTGAGTGGTGAATGCACCTGACGAGCACCTTCCACATCTCTGCAGCTCAAGTGCCTAAAACTAATTCCATAATCAGCTTTATTTCCTATGCTACGATTCCCATTCCCTTAAAATAGAGATACATATCTATAAAAGCCTCCCAGTGTGTGGAAATGAGTGGGTTTTTCCCTCCCTACACCCAAATTTTAACAGGATTTGTGATAAATTGGTTACACTTCTCCTATCCCTGCCATTCCCAGCACTTCTCCATTTATCAGGCATCAGTGAGTTTGCTTTGGGACAGGAAATTCTGAATTTGTCCTTGTGTCAGGGTGGTTGGCTGGAATTCCTGTCAGGGGACTGTTTAAAACAACTCAGTCCAGGAATCCTTGGCCTTGGAAAGCTCCTGGTGACAGCGGTTCCTTCCTCGCTGGCTGCTGGGACACAAAGTTTGTCACTGTCAGATTAATTAGGTCTGAAAAGTCGTTTTCAGCTAATTGAGAGGAAAGTGCTGAGCAGCCCTGGAGTGCTGCACCCCCGGGCAGGGCAGGGATGATTCCATCACCAGGAAGGAAAATGTCTTTGCACTCATGTGATAGTCCAGATGTGGTTATAAATCCAGATGTGACTTGAAGGTACCGTTGTAGTGAATACATTAAATGGCCAAAAATGGTGAATTATAAGGGGCTGCCACTGTATCTTTTTATTTCATGTGTGAGAATCATGAGCAGGAATTCTCTCCTTGCCTTAAGAGGGCCTTACCAATGAATTTTTCTATTGTAGCTTTATCCACAGTGGAGTCACTTTACCACCCTGAACCTTCTGAGCCAGATTTTGGGTAAGAACAGAGCTGGGTGGGGTTTCTAAGCTTTTCCTGTTTGTAAATGTTGGCTGAGACTGGATGAAGCCAGGAAATGCTGCTTTACCTGGAAGGCTGAGAATCCTTCCTTGGACATGTCCAGCTCAATGTTTTCCTTGTCTAACTGGGGAGGGGGCCAAGAGAATCCACATTCTGTGGAGAGGTTAAAAAATAAACGCAGCTCAGGCTGGGGGTGATGAGGTGTGGGATTGGGGTGTGTGACTGAGGACAGGGACAGCCCCAGTGTCCAGATCCAGTGTCCATGGAAGTTTCAGCATCCTCAGGCTGGAGGAGCCGCTCTGAGGCTCTCTGGAGCTGCCATTCCAGCCCTGCCCTGCAATCCCTGGGTAGGAACTGGCTCTGCCCAGGGCTGTTCCATGTCCTGGCACTTGAGGAACATCCTCGGGTGTCCTCAGCAATCACCACAGCGGGGTCAGCTTTCCTTCCATCGCTTGTACTTCCCTCTCTCTCCCTCCAGACTTTGTCATCTTCCTGAAAGAAACACAGCCAGGACCTGGCTAGTGCTGAGACTGCAAGAAAATTACATTTTAGAATGTATAAAATCAATCAAATCAAATGAATCCCAAGCCTTGGGAGGGCTGGCAGCTCCCAGCTGGAGCACTCCTGTGTCTGCACTCACGCATGGCTATTAAAGTCATTTAGCCAAAACATTTTATAAAGCTATTTATTATAGCAAAGGAAAACCAAGATTCTCTTCAGCAACTTTTTTCTCCATGAAATTTGATCAGAGCATTCCTTGAATTGTTTCCCCTTTGCCACTTTGTGTCTTTCAAACTCTGATTTTCATGCAGCTGAAGGGAGCTCATTCTGTTCTCTTAATTCTTGTTGAAGTGGAGCAAACATAAATTTGGGCTGGGGAGCTCTGTACCATCTTATTTATGCATTTATAGATGATGTCAATTTCTAATTCATTAAAACCTATCAGTATTTATGATTTTAAGTTAAAAACACTTCTCAAAATGTGCCTGTTTGCATTAAACTTTGTGTGTGGGAGTTGCAGTGAAAGTTTTAAAGCAAATATGTGATTTCTGACCTGCTTTTTGGGGCTATTTAGGTGTTTTTGGGGTGAAATGTGCTCTGCTCAGCCTGGGAGGGGGGGTTTGTTTGGGGAGGTTTGTTTGGGGTGAGTTTGGTGATAAGTCTGTGTGTCAAGAATGGAAATTAAAATGAGTGTGAAATGTTGTTTTCCTGTCAGAAATGCTGGATCCCAGGGACGTGTCCCTCTTCCACACGCACATATCTCACACCTGTGAGTGCTGGGGCCTGCAGGAAACTTCTTGAAAAGCAAAAGAGATGGAGCAAAAGCTGGCTTAGGAGATGAAATTCCCAGTTTTGTATTCATGGGCTGAATGTGGCACTGGGTGCCAAGGGAGGGTTGGGCACAGGTTGGACTCTGATCCTGGAGGGTTTTCCCAACCTTGGTGATCCTGGGGTTGTGTAAAAGAGTTCCCAGCTCTGTGCAGACCCACCAGCCCTGCCTGGGGGTCTGGGGCTCCTTGGGTCCCTCCCAGCTGCAGGAGCTGCATCCATGGAGTGATCCCATGGAATAACCTTGGGTCCCTCCCAGCTCCAGCAGTTTCATCCACGGGGTGATCCCATGGAATAACCTCCCTGTAAATAATGCACAGGCAGACAGAGTTCTCAGGGTTCTGAGGAATAAGGAATTGCAGCAAACCCCTCTGTTAGGATGGTTTAGGAAATGCCAAAACGCCTTTCCACATTCCTTATCCTTCCTCCTCCGCTTTTAGCAGTGCTGGCTGGAGTTGTTTCCTTTGGGACACGCTTTTCCCAGCAGGGTGGGCTCTGGCTCCAGTTCCTCCCTGGTGCTGCTGGGGCTGTCCCTGGATCCCTGGAAGTGTCCCAGGCCAGGCTGGAGTGGGCTCAGAGCACCCTGGGGTAGCGGGAGGTGTCCCTGCCATGGCAGGGAGTTGGAGTTAAATGGGCTTTAAGGTCCCTTCCAATCCAAAGCAGTCTGGAATTCCATGATTGTCCTGGGACATTCTTGTGGCGGGTGAAGGAATGCTGAGCTGCCTTCAAGCCAGGTCTTTTCCCTCCTGTTCCTCTTAACTCCATTATTCCTTGACTTTGATATAACTTCTGAAAACTGCCTTTAGTTTTCCTTGGAATCCAGCTTGATATTAAGTGATTAAAAGAGAAGTCACCATTCTCTCACATTATTTTTGTCTGGTTTAGCCCAACTGTGCATTCCTTAGGCCTTTGCACCTGGTGTATGGAACTGCGAATAGCTTTTTAACAGAAAATGTTACTTTTTTGCTCTATTTCTGGAGTGTATAAAAGTTAAGACTGCTGAGTTCTCCTTCATTGTTGTTGTTTTGTTGTTTTTTTTTTAATTAATACATTTTAAATTAATTTAAAAATGAATACTTTCTTGATGCTCTTACCACTTTTTAAATTACAGGTTGTGTCGCTACTCTCTTGTTGCACAGTCTGTATCGAGTTATTCTGAATATGTTTTTGTTATAATATGGGGATGAAATACATGTAAAGCTACAGAATAGTCAACAATATTGACAATAAATACAGTCAATTCTTGTCATTAATTTTTCAGTTCTGATGGTTTTTACCTTCATTCTTCAGAACTGGAAGGTTTTTTTCTGTTTCTAATGTATATATGTGGGTATATATATGTAGGCAACTCATGGGCTCATGTAAAGAGGCAAAAAGGTCATGCAAATTTCCTTGGGAACAATGAAAATTGTCTAAAGTTTTGTAGCTGGCCAGGGAATTTCTTGGAGATCCACCATGCCTGGGATGCCAGAGGTGCTGCAGGTGAGCAGCTTTAGGTGATG